CCCAGGACGTAACCGTTTCTATGTCATGTTATATATTTTTTAAATGTTTACCAAAGTAAAGACGGTATATAAGTCTAAGTGCTATTGCTATTGCTATTATGGCCAGATCAGAATTGAAACCCCAAGCTATTTGTGTTCCTGTTTCATCTTTCCATGCTTCCACAAGTAGCAATAAAAAAGAAATAGAAATAATGAGTCTAGAGATATTACCTTAATGATCTCTTGACTCAATGAAGAGAGGACTAACCTCAACTTTCTTTTTGATCTGTATAAGAGCAGAAACCCAGGACAAAATAAATAAACCTAGTAACAAGCTTTTTATGGCATGCTTTTTCTTTCAATAACTTGGTCCAGCAATTTATTTTAATATTCAAATTATCAGTTTGAAAGTACTATTTAAACTGATTAAGTTTTGACAGGAGGAGAACAAATGATTTCTGACTATTTGAGGATATTGATACAACTATAGCCTTTTCTGAATAGTTTATATATAATTATAGTTCCAAAGTAAATTATGTTGAAGAATTCAGAAAATGGAGAGCAAATATCTTGAAGTTACCTCTCAGTACCTAGAGCCAGAGTAGCAGACTAAATATAGTACAGAACATTTGGGTTTCATTTTTTTTCTAGAAATATAAAATCTAGATCACATGACATACAAAGCCATATGACTGTGTTAATTCATACTAGGCTAAACTGATAATGATGGTCTGCAAAATCAGTAAACCATAGTTAATACATCATGAAAACGTAGTCAGAGTTGTTTAACACATCCACATACGTCCTTTACAACAGTTCCAACCCTGCATATTCTAACAAAGTTGGTAGAATCTGGGCACCATATCAATTTATTACTGGCATCCCTGTGGTTATTTCAAGTCACTGCAAATCTAGTATTTTCTTTTGAAGTGCTGTAGCTCTATAAAACTTCTGTCTAGTTGTTTCCCTGCGGTGGGAACTCAAGTCTCGTCTAGCGATGTTTGCTATTTTTTAAATTTCATGTGGCCATGAGTATGAAAAGTTGTGAGTACGATTATCTTCACATTAGTTTTTGGCCTTCTTTTTTTAGCCTTCTGCATGAATCTGAAAATATTTGAGCTTTGTAATGAATAGCATAGAGGGGCTAATGTGAGGTCTAAAATAATAATAATAGTAAAGTTGGAAGGGACCTTGGAGGTCATTTAGTCCAACCCCCTGCTCAGGCAGGAAACCCTATACCATTTCGGACAAATGGCTGTCCAATATTTATTTAGAATAATGTTTGGAGTGTGCACTGCAACTACACAATTTATTTGAATTTATTATTTGTTGGTGATAAATGATGATTACAGGTCACCAAATCATTGTAGATTCTTAATGCTACATAGATTTTCTCCATGATTTTGTTAGTGAAAGGAGACAAAGAAAGAAGACTGTGATTTTCCTCCCCACCATTTGCTTGTATAAAAATTGGATTAAATATCTCTAGTTGCTAGTTTTGAACTAGCTTTTTTTCCTTATATCTTTAAATACATCTCTATTTATTTTAGTCTTAAAATTTTAAAGCATGAGATGCATACTTAAAAACTACATTGGCATTCTCTTTCTCTTTCGCTCTGTTTGAACTCTGAACTATTTTTTTGCAGTCAGAATTCTGTTTTTAATTTTTACAAAACGCTTTTTTAAAATATGCTCAGTTAGCTTGCTGACTAGGAAATATAATAGGTATGAAGGGCATTTCATTTAAGAAATCTGTTTTACAGTATCTGAATATATTAGTGACAAGTCTAAATTCAACAGAATTTCCTCCATTTGAACGTCTTAGTTTTGGCTCCTGGATTTTAACTACAATAGTAAAAATGAGGCACTAATGCAATAAAATTATAAGAAACAAGATTAAATATAATTAAGCACACCCATAAACATGGTTTCTGAAACAAAAGCTGTAATCTCACGCTATGAAATTAGTGTTTTAGTCATCTTCTTTGTAGCAGTGTAATATGTATGTATATTCAGAAATAAATGCCACTTTTCCCTGACTATTTGAGCTTAACACGTGTGTTAAACAATTGTCACTTTTGAACTACAACTCCCAACAGCCTTTGCAGTGCAGAAAGTTGTTACAGCCAATCCGGGCGAGGCTCTTTCTAAAGTGCAAAGATGGCGGATTCCAGGAAGTAATGGCTGTGCTTTTCCTTTATGTATGAAAGGGAACTGGTAAGTCTAATGTAGGATGTTCATCCTTCTCTTTTCGATATCATAAATGAGCTCTAGAGTGATTCTCGCTGTTTAGTTTTTCCGCTTTAGCCCATCACATTTCGTGTCTCAAATCCGATAACAGAAACTAAGGAAGAGTAATGTATTTCAGTTCTGGGGTAAGCTATTTTATTAATTTGTTTCCGGAGTCGGCCCATCTGCTTGAAATTTAATATCAGTTCTATTAAAGGATTCCAGGGCATCCGTAAAAGGGGAGTTTTTAGTGTTATGTATGACTGCTTGACAGTAAGTTCACTAAATTACTTCAAACGTACATTTTTAAAATTGCCATTTAAGATCTCGTGCTTATCACTCGTACTTGAAGTGAGTGTGTTTAAGATCCTAACGATGCCTTTTCTAATCAAATCAGGGTTTATCGTAATGTAAATTGTTTGTGTTTTGACAATTCCAATACATAATAATCTGCTATTGAGATTGTCCACCAGCAGGCATATGAAAAATTTGAGGAGCTTATATAGGACCTTACTAGAGATAATGTTAAAATTCAAGAAGTGTAAAGAACCTAATTATTTTACAAATATTTGTAATTAAATACAAGTGTAAGGGTCTTAATTTGCTTGCTTGTTAATAAGAAGTAAGCAAAATATACTTTTTCTTATTTCTGAATTTAGGTATAATTGTGTAATGATCCCAACATGCTTGTAATCAAGGTTTTATACTTCCCAGTTCCCAGTTGCTTCAGCATGAAAACATAAATGGTTATTGACAGTGGTTATTAAAAAGTGAGCAGGAGATATTTTCTTCTGATTCCAGATAAGTTGCATTAATTTAGTATGATTTCATATAATTATTTTCCATTTTTATACAAAGGTTGCATTCCTATAATACTTAAGCAGCGTAAGATCTATTAGAAATGTTCTCATGATGTTCTAAGCTAAAGAGTATAAACAAGCTTGTACATCCTACTACTGTGTTTTATTCTACATTATGCATAACCTTTTAACAAAGCTGCATATCTCTACATTGTTCAGTGTGAAAATAGCCACTGTTTAGGATTGGGTCTTGTGTCTAAGTTTTTTTGTTGACTGCAAGTCTCAATTTTTGGAAACCAAAAGAGCTTTTGATAACATGGTAAGCAACAGTGCATGATTAAAAAGCTGTATAATATTTTGTGTATATCTATATCTATATTTATTTATCTATCTATCTATCTATATGCATGCACACAGAAAATAGCAGTATTAACAAAACTTTTTAAATTAGTGTGTAATGTAAACTGAATTCAGTGGATCTTACTTCCAAGTAAATGTGATGGAAAGGATTAGTTCTCAAAACATAACATACATGTTGAAATATAAAGCAAAACAGGGACATTTTTTAACAACGTATCACTGATCAATATATTTTATATAGAATGAATCTTTGCCCTAGAAGTTTGCAGTTTAAAATATGTACAGGTGGTCTTGACTTGCAAGCATTCATTTAGTGACTGAAGTTACAATAGCACTGAAAAAGACTATTTGGCTGGTTTTTACACTTGTGATCTCTCTAGCATCTCCATAGTCATGTGATCAAAATTTGGGAGCTTGGCAAATGGCATTTATTTTTTGACAGTTGCACTCTCTAAGAGTCATGTGATCACCATTTGTAATCTTCTAAGCTGGTTTCTGACAAGCAGTGTCAAAGGGGGAAGTAATATTCACTTAACAACTGCATGATTCGCTTAACAACTGCAGCGATTTGCTTAAAAAGGCTGGCAAAAAGATTGTAAAAAGGGCAAAACTCTTAACAGCTGCCTTACTTAGCAACAGAAATGTTGGGCTCAGTTGTGGTCATAAGTAGAGGACAACCTATATTTTAAACATTCTCTGCTTAAAATATAGGTAATTCTCGACTTACAACGTTTTTATGAGTGTCCTTGTTTTTTCTCAGAGCAATGTGTGAAATGACTGTTCTATAATATTTTGTGATCTGGTATATTAATATTTTCTCTTTGCACTTTCTGTTTGAGAATTGCTTCCTGAATATTCTGGCCATATGTATCCTAGTTTGGGCAAAATGTTTTGGGAGTGGTGAAACTTTTGTCCCACATACAATATTATACAGCAGGGGTGTCAAACTCAATTTCATTGGGGGCTGCATCAGCATTGCAGTTGCCCTCGGGAGGCCGGGTGGGTGTGAACAGAGTGGGTGTGGCCTATTGGGTGGGCATGGCCAGCTCTACATCGTTCGCGTCAAGGGTGCCTGTGGGCCCTGGGCAGGAGTGGGACAGATCTGAGAGTCTCTGGCAGAAGGGGGTGGGACCAGGGCAAATGCCAAAGCATGGTCCACTGGAGGAGCCTCACCGTTCCTCTTAGGCCATGCGGGGGGGTGGCTGGATGGTGGTGCAGGCTGCCCGGAGCCCTGGGCAGCAGAGGTAAAATGCCCAGCCTGGCCCTTGAGCACCCGCAGCACCAAGCCAGCCCCACTTCCCCAAGGGGGCGCCCAGCTGCACTTACCTCCTCCTCAAGGCTGCTGCTGCTATGCTTGCTTTCCTTAGCCAGGTTGCTCATGATGGGTACGAGGGCAAAGTCAGAGGGAGGCCCACTCCCTCTCCATGGGAGGAGACCCTGCTCTGTATCCAAAGCTTCCTTAGTAATATGATGGGAGACCCCCAGGATAGGCCAGGATGAGGGGGCAAGAGGATGGTAAAAGGGCAGCAGGGCAGGACTAAGGCAGGACTTCCCTCAGACCCTCCCTCTCCTTCTTTCCTTTCTTCCTTCCTAAGTACAGAGTGTTGGGAAAATATTTGAGATGAGGGAGGGAGAAAAACAGGCAAGAAACACAGCTGGGCAGGTGTCACCTTTGTGAGGAATGAAGAAATGCACCATCGCCTGGAAGTGGCCAGCACATGGCCCTCATCTACTTCACATATCTGGTTTGGTGGGCTCTGGGGGAGGGGATGCCGTGAGCAACGTGAGAGTCAACGTTACCTGCGCAATGCCGTCCAGCCCCCAGCCTGCCCGATTTCGGCAGGCAGCGGGGCGCTCTCCTCACAGCACCGAGAGGCTGAACCAGGCGGCGCAAATCCCAAAAGAAGCGCGATGCTGCCCAGCCCCCAGCCTGTCCGGTTTCAGCAGGCAGTGGGGCGCTCTCCTCACAGCACCAAGAGGTTGAGCCAGGCGGTGCGAAGCTCGCCAGTTTTGCATCTTGCTGCCTGCTGAAACTAGGCAGGCTGGGGGCTAGGCAGCATTGCACTTCTCATCAGTTTCGCGCCACCCGGCTCAGCTCTTGACGCTGTGAGGAGAGCGCCCCGCTGCCTGCTGAAACTGCAGGCTGGGGGCTGGGCGTCGTCATGCTTCTTTTTGGATTCGCGCCACCCGGCTCAGCTTCTCGGCACTGTGAGGACAACGCCCCGCTGCCTGCCGAAACCCCTCCCCCAGAGCCCATCAAGCCGAATATGTGAAGTAGGTGAGGGCCATTTGCTGGCCACTTCCAGGCGATGGTGCATTTCTTCATTCCTCACAAAGGGTGACACCTCCCCAGCATGCACCCAGGGGGCAGGACTGATGTGGCAGGGGCTGGTTCCTCACTGTTTCCAGACGGTCTTATGGAGCTAAGACTGAATGTGTTTCAGCATAGGTGGCCACCACAAAATTGTATATTGGCTCCTGGCTGGCCTGGGCCAGAGCCAAGGCAGCGGGGGGCCGTTCCCTCACTGTTTCCAGGATGGCTTCGCGGGCCACATGAAACCACTTCACGGGCCACATCTGGCCCCTGGGCCTTGTGTTTGACATGTCTATACAGTTTATATATAATGCAGTGTTATATAGTTATATAGTTGTGAAACCAGGGTTGGACATGCCTACTATAAACCTTTTCTCTATTTCTTTCAGGAAAGGAAGATGATGAAAGTAGTCAATCTCAAACAGGCCATCCTCCAGGCTTGGAAGGAAAGGTGGAGTGATTATCAGTGGGCCATAAATATGAAGAAATTTTTCCCCAAAGGGACGACCTGGGACATCCTGAACTTAGCAGGTTTGGTTCATACCTTTTGTACATCATAAATGTTAAACTGTGAACAACCAATTGCTGTGAATGACAAATTATTTCTTGTTTAGCAGTACATACCTTAGTATTTGACCACTCTGGTACTTCAGACAACCCCAGCCTTACAGTGAATTCCAGAACCTAGTAAGTGCAGTGCTAAATCAAGCTTAGTTACTACAAGACAAGAGGTCATGTTAGAAATTATGTGAGTGGTGCCAAGTATTTGGAAAAGAAATCTTTGTCCTATAATCTCCTTACAACTACTACCTAGAGCAGGCATGTCCAAAGTCCGGCCCGCGGGCCATTTGCGGCCCGCGGCCCGGTTTAATCCGGCCCTCGAACAGCCCTCCCTGCTCTATGTAAATGCGGCCCTCCCACGGCCCTCCGGCAAGTCCCATGAGAGAGAGAGACAGAGACAGAGGCACTTGCACTTGCACTTCTGTCTCTCTCTCTCTCTCTCTCTCATGGGACTTGCCCCCTCGCAGGGCTCCTCATTGGCCCTGCGCCCGGGTGTCCCGCCCCCTGGGAGAAGGGCGGCCAGGAAGTCCCTTTCCCGGGCTGGCCCCGTCCCAGGCGCACGTGGCTGGGGAGCCATGC